CAACTTTCAAAACTACCAGGAAGACACTAAAGCTGATTTTCCTTTTTGCCAGGGACTCCCCAGTCTCCACTCCTGTGTGGCACATGTCATCTGCACAGGCAGCACAATCTCCTGGCCTTCTTGCCTGGGCTGAGACTTCTGACGAGACCTGAGCTAGCTGGACACTGTCTTGTGTGATTCTGCTCTTCGTGTGCGGAGCCGCACTTCCTCTTTACATTACTGTGCTTGGAAGGAGATACCTACAGGTTCCTGCTTCAGGGGCAGCCACACCACAGTGCATCTTCTTCAAGGCCACTGTCTTTTAGGGCTCACCATCCCCCACCCTGGCGCAGGAAGGTTGCAATAAAGCCTAGTGGGGTTGTGTTTTCCCCAAATCCTAAAGGCCACACTGATGGCATTAACAGGTGGAGCCTTTGGAAAGTGATTAGGTCTTGAGGCTGGAACAGTGAGATTAGTAGCCTTGTTAAAGGGACACTGTAGATCTCTCTTGTCCTCTGTCTTCCATATAAAGACACAAAAGAAGAAAACAGCATTCCAGCCTCATGGGGTTCTGCCCCAGAATCCATCATGTCCCCTGGACTCAAAGGTCCCACCTTGACAATGATTAATAATTTTCTGTGGTTTCTAAAACACATAGTTTATAGTACTTTGTTGGAGGATAGTGAAGGAGTTATTGGTGGCTCTTGGGTAGGTAGAAGGATTTTTTGTGACTCCTCTGTTAAATGGCAATTCACATCACAGTGAACAGCCTGCTGCTAATGGGCAGAGCCCATGAGGCCTCACACATTATTGCTCAGAGAAGAGGTCAAGAACCAAGAAGGGCCTGCCTGGCTCCTACATTCTCCTTTAGCACATCTCAAGTGTGCTCCCATGCAGTCAGAGGAAAGGGGACCTCATATTTTAAACTTAGCTCCCCTCCTGTTAATGTCTTTGCATGACTCAGTGCCCCTGTTGGAGAATCGGATTCCCTAAAACGGGCAGCAGTATTTTGATTCCAAGGTGCACTGACGGTGGCCTACAGTGGGCCCAGTGAGGAGGCCCTGGAGAGTCTGAATAAGAGTTCTTCAGCTGCACATACACATGCTTCATCATCATCATCATCATCATCATCATCATCATCATCATTATCATCATCATCATTATCATTATCATCACTATTATTAGTATGTCTCAAGAGTGCACGCACCAAAGCCTCCTGGGCACAAACACAGACAATACAGATGGATGTTCACATCAGCTCCACTTGACACAAAGAATGACCGAGAAATGAGGCCAATATCCATTGGCAGGAAGTCATGCAGCAAGACTCAGCATACTTCATGTGGTATCATATTACCAGTGAAAATACACAAGTGCCAGGTATCTGAAACAACATGGATGGACTGAGAAAGACTGTGCTAAG